AGTTAATTTATATAACTCTATAAGTTAACTTAATTAATAAATTTTTATATCTAATCTTTAAAAAGTCATATTTTACTGAGTTTTTACTCAATATTAATAATTTTATTATTATTAAAATTAAAAAAACCTACTTTACAAACTTTTCTTATAAATTAAAATTAGTTTATTTAATATAATTTTTTATAAAATTAAATATAAAAAAAGTTACTATTAGGTTTATATATAATTTTAAAATACTACCTTCTATCTTTAAATATTATATTAAAATTTTAAAATAATCTTAAGTTAATTAATAACAATTTTAATTTTTTATATTAAATAAATATTTATTTTAATATCATTTATTTTTATTAAAAAATTTTATTATACAAAATAATTTGAAATTATTAAAACTATATATCTTAAATTATATATTCAAAAATTATAAGTTCTAATTTTTTTTTAAGTAATTATAACAGTATTTTATTAAACTATTTGTAATTATACAAAATATTATTTAACATATAAGTTTGCTATTATTTAGTTATTTAAACAATACTTAAATATAACCTGTTATACTAATTTAGTTAGAACTAAAATTATAACTTATTTGACTTTTATTATATAATAAAATATTACTAATTTAAAAACATTTTCTTATAACAAAGAAAAACAAAAAAGTGAGAATAGTAATCCTAGTTTAGTAATTAGGTTGTCATCTTTCAAGTGACAGGTCTAAGGTTCAAATCCTACCTATGATGAAATTTGGAAATTATATCTGTGTTATAGTAACTGTTTTTTGTTGATTGGTTGGCTTCATGTGGCTGTTACCTAGGTATACCAAGTTAGGTTCTACTGACATTAGAAGCTCAGACATCTATATGAAGTATAACATTACATGTATATAGAGAAATGTATAACTAGTGTTGTATAAAACTTTAGTGCAAATCCATGATAAGATCATCAGGTGTAGAAGACTAAGGAATCAAGATAACAGAAACCTACTTGAAAATTTCTAAATAAAGAGGTAGCATGAACTTTCAACAGTATTATCAGACTAGTTGAAGTCCATGAAACACTTTTATAGAAACTAAAAGTTAAAACTGGACATCAAATATATGTAGAGAAGCATATAACCAACCAGGCTGCCAATTCGCCAGAAGAAAAAGATATAGAGTATATTATACTGGAACATCTGGATTGGTAGTCTGGAATAAGACTAACAGTTCTGAATTGCAGCTGATAAAAGATAATGAAGAAGATGTTAGGAAGATAGGTACTAGGGTTCTAGTAAACTTTACAAGAGTAGAAATAGTGTAATGTAGTGGTTAAACAGGTAATTCCTGTGACTACAAGTATTAAATAACTATAACATGTTGCATAAAACTAGATTTATATATATGAGACAGAAAGGCTCTAGTAAGTTTTCTGTCAAGGATAAACTAGTTCTAAGAGTAACAACAAGCATTAGGAACTTGGATGGATGTAGCCTTGAGATGTTTCTGTGATACAATGAGGACTACATATGCAGAAGGTTTAAATAGGCAAGACCTCTAATCAGCTTGCAGGTATGGCAATTAGTGTAGAACTTATATAGCAATATATAAGTAAACTACTTAAATTAGGCACCAAAAGTACATATATAGCTAGTTGTAACCTCCAATATAAGGTGAGCCCCTGGTAGCATGCCATGTCTTAATATACTTAAATAAAAACATTGCATCCCCAAAATAGAGACTTTAACTATAAAAAAAAAAAAAAAATTTTAAATTAGATATAAGAAAAATAAAAATAAAAAATAAAATAAAACTAATAAAAAAATAAATTTAATCTATAAAAAAACTAAAAATGAAAATCTACTAATAGAGTAAAACTTTATTTTATAATTATTTGTATACTAAAATATTTTTATATCTATTTTAAGTTATAGTTATTTTTTAGAAACTAGATACTTTTAATTAAAATAAAAACAGTATTTATTTGTAGAATAATATTTAAGTTGAGTACTTTTTATATAAAGAATCTTTGAATAATTGAGATACTATACCAAGATTTAAAATCATGTACTTAAGTAATCTAACTTTTTATAAATTTCTATAACTATTTTTTAAAAAAATATTATATATATAATTTTAAAAAATATATATTTTAATAAATTTTTAATTTTTTTTTAATTTAAATTCTTTTTTAATTTACTTTACATAGTTGACTGATCTATATATTTATTATGTTTCTTATTTGTTATATCTAAATAAGTATATAATTGTAAAAGGAAATAATATATAATATTAATATTTTAATAAAAATAAGTCAAATCTTAATTTTTTATAAAAAAATAAAAAATATAAAGATATATTGTATTATAATAACAGTTTAAATTAAAAAGATTATTTTATTTTTTTTTGTTTTTAATATTTTTAACTAAAGAACTATTTTTGTCTTTATTTATTTTTAGAATATTCTTCTAATTTAGATGTTAAATATATAAGAAGTTTGTTAAATAAGAAGTTTAACTTAAGAAAAAAATTATTCAAGTTTTATTTATTTTTTAATTTTTTATATAATTGAGTTTTGTTAATAACAAATTTATTTAATATAAAACCTAATAATATTATCCACTTTGAGACCAAAATTCTTAATATACTTTTGATACTAATTTAGTTCAGGTAATCATCAGAAAGAGTTCTGTGATTATAAATTTTAATAACTATTATAGGTTAAAAAAATAAATAAAAGATAAATAATAGAAAATAATAAAATAAAAATCTTTTATTATTTTATTCTATATTTGCAAAATAATGATAACATAACAATAATATAACAGTAAAATAACAAAAAGTTTGTTGATATTAGTAATATAATAAAAACATATTAGTAAAATAATAGAATATTTTTATTATTTTATTTTTAACTACAAAGAATAAAAGTAAAATAATAAAAATGTTCTATTATATTGTTAATATGTTACCATTATGTTACCAATATGTTACCAATATCAACAAACTTTCTGTTATTTTACTATTATTCTGTTGTTATGTTGCTGTTATACTGTTATTATTTGACAGATATAAGATAGAATAATGAAAGATTTTATTAATTATTTAATCATTATTCACACTGAGTCTTCTTAAAAATTATATATTTTTATTGGCTAATTACTACGAACAATCATGGGTAAATCTAATTTTTCTCAGTCAAGAACAATCAAACATTATGTAAATAATTTTAAAATATTTTGATTATTTTTTGCAAATACTGTATTTCGTTAAATTTCGATTATTTTTGCTAAAAAAAAATTTTGTAAAAAATTTCTGATCATTATATTTGGACAAATATTTTTTAAAAAAATTTGACGGTCCCTGTCCAGTATCGCCATAAAAATTTTGCAGTCATATGATTTATATAACACATCGATAAATTTTTTTAAAAGTTTGTTGAAGTTAGGGTTAGCGTCTATATGACGGTTAAATTTTGGCATGTTACACAGTAAAATTGCTCAAAGAAAACTTTTACTTAGTGCGCGCCAAATACTGTTTATTACACAGATTTTCGAGAAATAGGCGATTTTTTGACAAAACGAACGTTTGTTCTCATGAATGGCACATCACTAAAGATGTCAATTCTTAAGTCGAAAACTCTTAAAAGGCTTTCTCATACGGGCAAATTTCTGAATGATATTTTTTTATAATTACTACTATTAGTAGGAAGAAACTTACTTACTTAAGTCACTCTTTATAGAATATTGAAACGCGACCCAAGCAAATGGGATGCATAAGTGATTAGGATATTTACTTTATAAATAGTGTACCTGGTGTTTTCAAAACGTATGCGTACCATGTATAGTTGTTATCCGAAACCCGAAACTATACATAAAATCCCGAAACCGAAACCAAAACCCGAAACCCTTTCCGAAACTCTAACACTATACTGAAAGGCTTAGAAATTTAATTTTAAACTTTAAGACTTAAAGTATAGAATAATTAGATTGCATTTCAGGAACATTTTGGTTACTTTATAGTAAATGTGCAGTAATTATTAACGTTCTAATTTTAAAATTTCGGAAAGGTTTCAGGTAACAAGTATAGTACCATGCACTTAGAATGGACCTGAGCATTATTCTTAAAGCACTTCCACCAGACAGTCGCGTCCATCAGAAAGCAACGGATATGAAGACTTCGTTAAAGGTAGTGGTCAACCATTGGAATCAATTCTGTCACAACATCCAAAATATCCAACTTTTAAAAAGCAACTTAGACAAGCAAACATTATGTACCTGGAACAACTTTGCACAACAGATAACAGCACCTTACTCGATTGGAAACATCTGTCACCAAGACTGCTATATCTACCTAAAGGCAGAAAAACCTGGTTTTTTTAGCTAGAAAGATTCTCAATCAATGCCAACAATGATACCTACCCCCGCAATTATGTTGAACGATCTTGTCGCACAAGACAATCTGTATGTTTGTCAAAAGTGGGATGTAGACATCATTAATAGTTAATTTCGTTGGCATTGCGATACCTGCCCTGCAATTATGTTGAGCGATCTTGTCGAACAAGGAGAACTGTATGTCTGCCTGAAGTGGGGTTCATCTATGGATGTAGGTATCATTAAATTTGATAGTTAGTTTCGTTGGCATTGTATTGACAACGATATCTGCCCCTACAATTATGTTGAGTGATCTTTTCGCGCAAGGCGAACTGTATGTCTGCCTGAAGTGGGGTTCATCTACGGATGTAGGTATCATTAAAAACTTGATAATAGTTCCGTTAGTATTGTTTATGACAGAAACTTGAGTGAACTTATCACAAATTATAGTCCAGTTACTTATCAGCTACAATAAAATTTTTCGTTATATTTTATTTACAACATATATATTTGTTTTTAAAGAACTGCAGAAAAGATCATGTTAACCTTGAATTATGACAAGGACACTCTGAAAAACTCGGAAGGCCAACTGTAGAAAATAGAGTGCTCAAAGTATGTTAGGCCACACACAAATTTACTTTATTAGTTTTTAACATGAACCTTTTTAATAAACCGGCTGGTCGTTTTTTTTTTTTTTTTTAATACTGTATATAACTTTTCCTCAAATTGGATGCAATCAGCGTGAGATCTTAACTTCCAAATTATTTTGATATCGTTATTAATTTAAGCTCTTATTAAATATGCTAATAATAGCTTTGAAACGAGTGGAGGACGAAATTCCAGAAACAGCCGATTATGGTAAAATTATGGTATATACGAAATATTAATAAATTAATAGTTTCTGTGTCTATTCATGAATATGTTTTCACCAGGCAGTAACGAACAACATCAAACATCACAAACTTCATGGAAAATAATCCGTCTCAACAGTCTTCTGCAGAAGATAATCAAGTTGAGGATGTTAAAAAGGAAGACACTAAGAGATTAATTGAATTTTCATGCAAACAGAAGTTGTACTTAAACTTAATATATTAGTATGTGGAGAGAATTGGTATGGTAAATATTAGGTTCTTTTTTTAGATCCCCCTCAGGAACAATACGCAAATAATTTTTTTATTTTATCAGGACAATCCATCATGAATACTTTTTTTTTTAAAGAATATTAATGATTTACTGTATACTCAATTGATTTTGTGAATAATTATTTGTGGGAAGATGCATATCCACAACAGTATAAAAATAATGATTATTTGCTTATGTAATTAGTGTTTTTAACATCGTATTTCTTTTGTACTGCAAATTAATGACTGATCCTTTCAAGACCTCAGGTGCTAAATATGGTAAAACACCATAAATATGACCATTCTGTTTTTCATCAACCGATATTGATGAACCTAAATCAATATAAGCTTCATATCGTTTTTTTAATAATTTTAGAATTTAATTGGATAAATTTAATACGTGGTAAACTCGAATTATTAAAACTGATTCTGATATTCAGTACGAATGGCATTTCCAAATTTGGTGGCCGATTTTTGTACCCAAAAAGGCCGGGACGTTTATTCCGGGACTCGAATGGATCAAAATTTCAAAATTCAGGTCTTATGAATTTTTACAGGAGGATCACAAAATTTTCGGGTCGGATCCATCGGATTTAGGCCAGCATTTAGCAATACAAGTCAACTATTTCTGTGCCAAAATTATTAGTTAGGTAGCTTTACTTAATGTGTGGGCTATGATTTCATTAGTAAATTAATTAATACCGACCCTTCCGCTAATGATTCCAGGCAGTGTTGGCACTGGACTTCTGGAACCCCACTAGATGTCCAAACTTTTCCAGAATTCCAGTGCTTTCAGTGACAAATCTCACTGGAAGAATTTTTCCACTGGAACTACGTATTTTTAACCAATAAAATATTTAAAAAAATCAAAAATTTATTCATGATGGTAATCTTATCGGTTATAAGCCAATGATTGTACGTACATACGTGATAATGGTGATCAAAAGAATTTTCCAAAATTATACTTTGACATAAGGTAGAGGGGTGGTGTTAAATTTATCAAAATAAAACTTTATTAAAATATTGCTAACTACAATTTTTATTTCAATATAACATAATTATTTGTCTATTTAAATGATAAAATCAAAAAAAAAATGCAAGTTGACTTGTGTTTGCACAACTTTTATCAGTGCAAAATAACTTCAACAGTCGGGAGGGTATTCTGGTGAATCAGCAGATCAACAAATTTTTTTTTATATCATTTGATCTGTCATGATGAGACAAATTGAATGGTATAAGAATTATTAGTTTCTAACTGATAGACCATGTGTAAACTTCAATCATATGTGATCCGTCACATTACTCATCTCTGTTAAAATACCTTCCTCTACCTTATACTCTAATATTTGAACTACAATAAATCTAAGTATTGTTATCCATATAATTTGGTATTAAAAATAACATATTGAATATGCTTTTCAGTTCTCATTTTGCTTTGTTATCTATAGCAGGATATTTATAGTTACTTAACAGATCACCTTCAATATTATCAAGACTATCACTGTATTCTTCCTCCTCCTCTTCTAACATGACAGTACTTTCATCTTTCAACATTTGTTCTCAATCACTTAATTGACTTTTCCAATTATCAAGAATTGCTATATTTATTAGGTTATTATTCTCTAATTCTTCATATTTTTTCTTCAAATCTGCACTAGTTTGGGTTTGTTCAATGATGGGTGATGTATTGGTTTTATTAAACATGACTTTAGAGATGCGTATTTGTTTTTTTTGTTGAGTAAAATTAAGTGAAGCATGAATTTGATATATGGTTAATATTTTTTATTAGACTAAAAAAAAAAATAAATGTCACAGCTGAAGCAGAAAATTTTAATTATCTTAATATAGAGATGTCCATAGCAAAAGCAGAAGATAGAACTATATATTATATAGTTTTATCTCCTACTTTTGCTATGAGCATTCTCATATGAAATTTTTAAAGATTATTGTAATATATTTTCTTAGTTTTTTTAATAGTTAGAGTAGAATTAAATAGGGTTTATATTTTTAAATTGAGGTTCCTAATTTCTAGTTTCAGTTTTAGTCATAATGATATATATATCTTACTTGAAGATGATTGTGTTAATTAGTGTGAATAAATTCCATTGAGCTTCATAATTGTTCTACAGATGTTGTATTAACACAGATTCTGAATAAACATATTGCAAATGATCCTAATTCTCTAGTTGAAGAGGATGTGAATTTCCAAAATCCTAATATGTTATTTCCAAATTGATCATATGTAGCAGAGTCAAAAGGATAATTTTTTTTTTTATATTCTTCTAACTCAAGCAAAATGCAAATCAGGTGATGTCCAAACTAAGTTTTATAATAATAGGTGACAAATTGAGCAAGATAAATAAAATTTAAATTTTCATTATTACTAAACTATATAGCATGAATATTTGGATTTAAAAAGAAGAATAATAATAATAATGACTATTTCAACTGTTTTCATCTTTGTTCTAGATGCATAATCATATGTTGTGCCAGATCATGATCTGAATATTCTTCCCATATTTTTAGAATTCTACTAAAAGTTTGTAATACTTCATAAAGATAAGCAGTATCTGATTGAAGTTTATTAAGAATCCCACAATAAAGAAGAAGTAAAGAATATAACTGTGTTATCAATTATCAAAAACTGTTATTAAGAAGAATTGTTATTATATTTTGTGAAAAGTAAAGTTCATTTAAATTGGTTAAAAGTTGGTTTAGTTCTTTATCATTAGAATCATAAGTTAAAAATTTTAAAAATGATTCATACATGATAGCTGAAGTCTTAAAAACCAATATTTTAGATTAAAATGTCTTTTTATTTAATATATATATATTTTTTTTTGAATTTAATATATTTTAAATACTAACTCTTAAAGCTTGATAAGATTTTATTAAGTTTTTAAAATAATAACAATAAGAATTCCAATGAGTATCATTTGGACAAATTAAGGTAATATAATTTGAATATATTTTTTTTTATATATCACAAAGCTTTCCAATAAAATATGAATAGAACTGCATTATTGAAATAACTAGTAACTTTTATTGCTTGTTTTATTGTAATTTTAAATTTATTAGATTCTTTGAATATTTTACTAATAGTAAAGTTATATTGGTATGCAAAACAAAATAAAAAAACTATTTCTAGATATTTTAATCATAGTCGATATCTATTTAATACAATAATTAGAATAATATTAAAAAAAAATAGACTAAAATTATAAATTTACCTGGCAGCAGAATATGCTAGTGCACTATTAGAAACAATTGCTGATAGTTTGGTCTCAATATTTGTTGTATTTTTTATCATATTTTCAATTTTAGATATAATTTCAATCATTCATTCTCTTTCTAAACTAATATTAATAGTCTCTCAAACTTGAACTTCTCTAGTTAATAAAATGAATAGCGAACCAAAAATATATTAATTTAAAATATTTTTTCATCTGTCAAATGCTAAAATAACACTAATATTATCTGCTTTTAGTTTTTGTTCATATAATATTATCATATTTTTTCTTTCATTTTCAAGAATATGATTAGACAAGGAATGCCAACTAGAAAGAGTAAATGATGGACTCAAAAACTTGAACAGCTTCTTGGTTTCTGGATTTGATATCTATTGAAATACCTATTTATTAGATATAGTCATATTAAGTAACAATTGTTCGAATTTTGGTCTCTTTTTTGTAACATCTTTAGTCAAGAAATTAAATATAGAATTAGAAGAATTGGATAATTTTTTTTTTCTAGATTTCTTGGATAATGTAGATATGATAGCTAAGGAAATATTAGAAGTCATATCACTTGTATATGTATTATTATCTATTTTTTTTTTTTTTTTTAAATTTTTAATAATTAATTTTCATATAATAAATTTCAGATATTACATTTACTAGCTACCTAAGATATTAGTATTTGGATGTTTTCTTGAACTTCATAAATTCTGTTCTGTTTCATTATCTGTTTTATTGCAATATACATCTACAGCTTCTTGAGACCCTAGTTTAATATGAAAATGGTTACATTGTTTTAGATGATTTTGAATAGTATTTTTTTTATTTGTTATAGTGTTTTTTAATGCTTTCTCTTAACCAAAAGCATCATCACAAGCTTTACATATACTATAAATGTTATGTTTATTGTTTGGCTTCACACCTAGTATAATAATATCATTTGTAAACTTATGCTTTTTAGGCCTCCTTATATGTTGTCAAGTCATTTTAATACGAAGTTGATAAGTTAGCCAGATGCTTTAGATATAACTAACATTATGAGTAATTAAAGACTTAAGTTAAAGATACATTTTAATATTTTTATAAGCTATAATTTATTTGTTAATAAACAAAGAAAATTGCAAAAAGAATCTGTTCTTTTAAATATTTTATTCAAATTTGAAGCCTAACAATAATATGAATATGCAACAGAAAATTACTATATGTATTTGATAAGTTTTTTATTATATATTGGATTTCATAAGATGAGTATTGTAAATTACAGATTTTCTTTTATTTAATCTTAATTTAAAATTCTTTTTTCAGCAATATCTCTTGGTGTCATTTTTTAAGGTTAATTCATTCAACAATATATTAATAACAATTACACACACAATATCAGATAGAACAATTATTTACTATATAGTAATTATTAAGTAATAGATAGAACAGTTTCTTTCTATATTCTATGTGTACTGAATCTGCCTTCACCAACAATTAGTTTATCGACAGCTTATTTAGCCAACATCATATCAAGTAAAAATTTATTAAAAATATATTTCTGCTACTAATCAAATGCTAATCCCAACCTATATGATGTCAGCTAATTGAACTTTTGGTGAAATAATTATTAAAATAAGCAGTATTGATGCATACTTATTCTTTATATTGTTTTATGAGAAAATCTATTTGCAGATCTTCAAGTAAGTACAATTCTTATAGCAGAACATATGTAAATTGCAATATGGAGACATACTGAATCTTCTATTTAAGAGCACTTTGCAAGTATTGCTTTTTGAATAACAATAATTAATATGGATCAAATTTAGTATAAGGAACCCACTAATAAAATTGATTATTAATCAATTAAATTTAGAATAGAGTTCCTTATATTAAAATTGATCTGTTGATCTTTTTTCTTTTTATTACTTTTTTAGAGACATTTAAAAGTTATATAACTATATATTTTTCAACCATTTTATCCATAATCTTTATTCAAACACTTTATAGTTACATATACATAATAACAAATTGCAGAGTTTTGCAAGTGTAATATTGCATGTGCTGGCACCTGCAGAATCCTAATTTAAGGACTATCTTTTTAATAAATATAATTTTTTTCTATATACAAGTATACATGTCTATATAAAGCAAAATATAAATGGAATTGATTTATGCATAGTGCATTTTATGTAATTGACAGGTGTACAGATGTTTGTAACATGGAAAAATAAAATGCAATTTTATTTTTTTGATTAAGACAACTACATGTATATACATTTGGGCATATTGTTTATAATTTGTAAATAGTGTAATATATAATAACTGCAATAATAATAACAATAACTTTTTAAAAGGATTTTTACTAAATGTTATTGGATGTTACTGAATATTACTAGATGTTACTAGACATCTATCTAGTAATTAAAATTTTTTATTGAAAAGATCTTGTAACATCTAATTACTAAAAGCTAATATACTTTTAGTTCTATCCAGTTTGGTCTAGTAAACTTCCAGTTCCAGTAATTCTCACTAGACTGATTTAGTAACAAATACTGTATAAATATACATAAAGCCCTGTGGCTAAGTCCATGTGAATAGAAAATTAGTATATAAGAAAGTTCCTAAAAAGAAGTTTCCTAATATGAAGAGTTGGTGCTTGATGCAAGAGAAGCAGTGAACATATTAGAAATAGAGAAAAGACACACTAGCAGATGATACAGTAAACATAAAAAGAAAACTATGAAAAAAGAATAGACTTACTGAAATTTAAACATTTCTGGCATTAAAACCAGTTTAGTAGATACAGGTTATACTAAATTAAATCTAAGTAATAATCTTGGTACCAGCTTAGTAAGCTTGTGTCAAGGGTGAATCGAAAGCTATGAATACTTGGTAACATCTAATAGAATGGTACCTTAATATAAATAGTAACCAGGTAGCTCTAACCTAATATATCATTATAATAGTAATATAGGGATTGTATATATATGCAATAGTGTTGAAAATTAGAGACTTTAAATAGAAAACTCACAGGCAGGTTTCAGATATAACAATTAGTAGGTAACTTGTAGATGAAGCCTTTAAATAGACAATGACTAAAGTTGTACATATGGCTAATTGTAGTCTCATTAATAGACTTTGTATATAAAATAATATAATCATATATTACTTAATAAAGACATACAGACAAGATTGCCACTTTAAAAAGGAAAAAAAAAGACTTAGGTAATTGCAAATTACTAAATCAAAAAATCATAACAAAACAAATAAGTAGTCTTTTCTTAAGACATAATAAACAAGACAGTCTAAGTAAATTAACAAAACTTAGAATAGCTCAAGAATGCCAAAAAGTAAGCTTAACAGAAAACATTTGAAACAATGAAAAAATCTAGAAGTTAAAAAGTTTTGGATGAATAACTTAGTCTGTCAAATAATAACTAAAACAAAAAAAATAGAAATAAGCATTAAAGCAAAAAAATGTTTATAAAAAGTTTATAAACATGATAAACAAAGAAGAAATAAGTTGAAAACAAAAACATAAGTAGCAAGCAGTAGCACAATAAATAAATAAGTGTTATTATGTCTGAACCAGCTTATAGATATAAAAAGTGACAACCTAATTACATAGAAACAGCTTAAGAGTTTTTAAGAGCTGTTATTTAAAGAAAAGAAAGCCAAATAATTTAGTAAAGTAGAAAAAAATGCTAAGAATATAAGCAAACAGAGAAATACAGAACCTTTACAAAATAAATAGCTACAATATATAGGCATTAAAGATCAATTGAACAAAGTTATCAGAAGACTAAAAAAGAAAAAATAAATTATATATAAACTAAAACACAACTAGCAATTTAGCAAAATAATTAAGAAAAAGAAGAAAAAGTACTAGTAAAATATTGGTTAATATATAAAGAAAAAAAAATCTATAGAAATAAGTACATAAAAAGGTTGTAAAAGTAGATTAAAACAGACAATAGACAAGTATAAAAAATAGATAAGACAAAACATAACATAAAAGTGGTATTAGAGTTACTAATAGAGAAACTAGCAATAAAATAAATACAATATTAGAACAAATATTAAAAAATAAGATAATAGAAAAATGAAAAAAAAATAAAATGAAGTTATTAGGATTAAGACAAATAGAAGAACTAAAAATAAAACTAATTAGAAAACAAAAATTAAATAGTATAATTACAAATTAGTTAATAGAGATTTTAAAACAAAACAAGAAAAAAGACAAAAGAAAATATATTTTTATATCAATAGAGCATTATATAAAAATAAAGAAAAAAACAGTAATTTAAACTTTTGATAATATTACTGTAAAAACTAGTTTATAAAATAATCTAGAATCTGTAAAGCTAGATAAAGACAAGTTAGTTTTTGAAAAAAGATTATTGCAATCAATCAGACTACTAGAATTCATTCTGAAGAAAAAGATTATATGTCAAAAAATATATAAATTGGAAGTATAATTTATTTACCTTTCTGGTCTATTTGGATTAGAAGCTTGGTGAAACTTAATTTGAATATTAAACTAGTAGAAATATGTTGTGAAATAAGTATTAGAATTAAAATGAACTTTACAAAAGCATAGTGGTTTATAGTATGTCTTGACTGCAAGTATTAATCTTGATTATAACATTACTAAGTTAGCTGTAAGAATAGAATATAAAAGATTTTAAAAGATTTAATACAAGTTCAAAGATCCTTATATGAGTAACAGTCTTAGAAACTTAGTGATTATGGTATATTTGCACTAATATCAACTAGGCATCTTGGTAGGTATAGGTAGATTGGATGGATACAGAAACTAAAGTATTTAAATAAGGAACTTATAAGCAAGTTCTAAATATAGTAGCTAGTATAAAACCTTTGAGTGGACTACTTAAATTAGACAATAACTAAAGTTGTATGAGTGACTAGTTGTATACTCTTTCTATAATTGCCTTCTGTAGTTGTAATGTAACCATTAGCTAAATATACTATTAATAAAATCCTGGGTTATAATACTCATTATAATATTTTTTTTAAAAAAAAATCTTAATAAAATATTAGCATAACTGCTTAAGATTAAAAAAAACTATATTATAAAAAAAATATTAAAAATTAATATAACTTTCAAAAAATAAAAAAAATAAAAATACAAAGTTTTAAATTAAATAAAACAAAACTAATTAATATAAAGACTAACAAAAAAAATTAGAAATATAAAACTATAATTTGAATTAATTTAAACTTATTTATAAAAATTAAAATCATTTTTATATAATCTTTTAGACTAACTTAATATAACTTTTAAATTTAAGCTTAATTCTTATTAGTATAATATTAAATTAATACTTTAGTTAAAATATATATATAATATATATACAAGAATCTTAAAAAAGATTATTAACAAAATTTAAATTAAAAAATATTTTAATATTGTTTTTAGTTATTTATTTTTAAACCAAATTAGTAGTTTTTTAATTGTAAATATTATTTTTTTTTAATATTTTAAAAAAATTTGCTAAATTTGCTTTTATATAAACTTATATTTAGAAAATAATAATCTTAATATAATGATCAAGTTGTTATCATTTAAGTAGTAGATCTAAAGTTTAAATTCTACTAACAGTATAAGTTTAAAAAATAGCTTTATTTTAGTAACTTATTTAAAGATCCAGAAATCATAATTCTGTAATTCTGATTGTACTAAGATGTATTTAAAAATATGCAATATTATATAAATAAATTTGAAAAATATATATCTAAATAAAAAGTTTGTTTAAAAATCTTAAGTAAAGAGATAGTACAACTTTCAATGATATTATTTATAAAAACCTTAATTTAAAAAAGAAAATCTAAGGCAGATGACTTGTATAAGCAAGAACCTTTAGATAAGAGTACTACCAATCTAACTAATAGTCAATTCAAACATAAAGTTATATTATACATATTTAACTAGATTGATAATATAGAAGAACTTGTAAAGACAAACAAAATACTAGTGAGATTGTAAAAAGAAGTACTGGAAGTGTATGAACTTTACAAGAATTAGAAATTAAAAGATTTTTAGATAGATTATAAAAGATTTAGTAAATACTACTCTTAAGAACAAAATAGTTCTAAATATTAAAAACAAAGACCCAAACTATAAAAAGATGAACACTCTTGTAATCTAATAAAGTTAGTACTAAAATATAGAATTAGAAAGTTTAAAATAAAATATCCAAGCAGAGGTGTTAAGTATAACAATTGGTAAAAAACTTAAACAAAACAGACTTCTTAAATAAGTAATAGACATGTAACTAGTTGTACTCTTATTCTATAATCATTAACAATTTCTTTATTCCAACAATTAAATAATATCAAGACCAAAGAGGATTACCTTAATATCAAATATATATATATATATAAACTTGTATTTTGTTTTTGGTTAAATTTGTATTCTTTATGTTTAGCTTAGTGAACTTAATATAAATATAATATATAGTAACATGTAATAATAATAATACTAATAAATAAATAAGGTTAATATCAAAAAATATTGTATTTTAATAATTATTTATTTGTAATTTTAATTTTAACTATTAATAATATAATAAACATATTATTTTAACAAATATTAACTATTAAATATATAATTAATATTATATATAGCTATAAACAAGTTAGAAATTATTATTAGATAATTATTGTAACAGATTATACTGAAATTTATAATACCTACTACTGTACTAAAATTTATTTATACTTTTTTGTTAACAATCTTAATCCTAAATCTTAACCAAACCCTAAAAAAAAAGCCCATACAAAAAAGTTTAAATTTTTACAATAAACTAGATTATATTTTAGCTTCAGCCAATTTCCGCTTTAGCCATCACAAATATTATATTTTTAAGTAATTTTATCACGTTAACCAAGTTACTAATCAATTTTTTACATCGAGTTGAAATAGTGTATCAGATTGGATTATAACTGTAACTAATCATAATTTTTTATTTGTTCATTATAATATAATATTAAATTTGATCAATCGTGATTTAATCACAAGAAAGTTCTACGAAAAGCGAGTTTAAATCGCGAATTACGTCACTTTGAAAACTCGGTATATTGTCGCGGCTGAAGCTCGAAGTTTATTTAAGAATATTGATTTAAACCCTACTAAAAATCTACTTACACCCCTTTATATCTGAATATCAAAAAAAAAAATACTTATAATGCGTTTATTTACTTTTATCATTGAATTCATTTGGAAAGATCATATTCAATAAGAAATTACTAGTAAAAATCTTTAAAAATAGCTTCACGCATGAAGTCAAAAAACCAGGGTGAATGTAGACAGTAAAATAACATATAACCTGATATTTTCTATAAACTCTCTACAAACAAAAAAAAAAAAAATCTATTCGAATGCCTAAATTTGTCTATATAATGGAAAAATCACAATTCGATCTTTTTTCGCAAGAATCATATATCATGATTATCAAAACTACCTGTTATCCAATATATTTGCGTATCAAACATACATAAATACGTATAAACAATGCAGAATGCCGACAATTTAAAACAAAGGGTTATAAAAGCTTACCATAGAAAGGTGTATAAAATGATTCCGCGACACCAACTATAGGAATTGAGCCTTTTGCTTTTTTTAATTCTTCTGAAGAAAATGACTCCGAACCAATTTGCCTTGAGGTAACATATCTAAATTCACGAAAATGACCACCACAATCTTGAGCATAACGAGTGATTATTCTTAAATATTCATCCGTAACCATAAGACTACTATAAAAAATTAACGTCGAGATCTTTGCGCTACATCGTTGTAACTTGAATAATAAGGTTTCCAAAGTTTCTACAGGAATATGAAAATTAATGCCGAAACTTTTTAATGTTGATGGAATAGAATCTGTAAAATCTTGAATTGAAAAAATTGAAGATGCTAGAGTTTCAGGATAAATTTTTAAAGAAAGATTTTCAAGTTTTGGTAGTCCTGAAAGTAAGGAATAGAAATTTACAAAATGTTCACTTAATATAGCTATGGATAAATGTGTAAGATTTGGGCAATAATGTTCAATGGCTTTCATTAGTTCTGGTGTGACATTAGACAGAAAAGTAAAGGTTTTAAGATTTTGATTGCTCATCTTTAGGAGTTGAACAAGAGAAATTATATGTATTTGACTTGTTGGACTAATATCATGTCTGAGAGGCATGCATGGCATGCAATAAAGATCTCGAATATTAATAAAAGTTATCGGTAAATCAAAAAGATCAGGAATATCTTCAGGATCAAAACCTCTTAATTCCAAAGTTTGTAAATTTTTACATTTCATCAATAATTTCAACAATTGATTAAATTCATTTACACCATCCAACTTGAGATGAGTTAGGGAATGAGAATGAAATTGAATCGATTTATACAGTGCTTTTGTTTTTAAATCTTCATCAGAATACATGTTGATTGAAAGGATTTTGATGTTGGATTGAGATTGTATAAAATGTAATATCGCTTTTGTGATTTCAGTACGTAAATCGCTTTCAGTATTAATTGAGAGATGATGAATATTACGAGTACACTGAGATATTACAGCAAATAAATTTCCAGTAATTTGAGTAGGAAGACAACAATATTCAAACTTGAACGTTCTAAGAGAACTAATGGCATGTCGAAAACCGGAAAACGACGTAATGTCCAATAAATTGATGGTGTTAAACTCTTCGTTCCAATGATAGGTTAATTCTCTAAGATTATAACAATTACTAAAGATGAAATTTCCTAAAAGTTGATAAGTGAAACGTGTTTTTTCGCCCAAATTTCTAGTATTAAATCCAGGAGACCGAAGCCATTTCTCTATAGCTAATCGAATTTGATGAGATTCGTAACTTTGTAAATATTTTGGATAATTAAACAACGCACAAGGATTAGCAAATATGATGTCTTCAGCAATCAATTGTTCTTTTTCGATATCAGAAAGACAAGAAATGTAAGTTCGAATGATTAAAGGAGCTTTCTCTTTGCTCACGCATTCAAATGGATGACTCCAAAGTAATGGAATAACGAGTCGACAAAAATGACGATTTACCAGAATGAAAGAATAAAGAGATGCTTTATCATTTTTAAAATGTAAAAAAATTAGGTCAAGACAATCGGAAGACAGCCGGAAAGGATTGACATGTGATGCAATAAATTTATTCATTTTAAATTTTGTAAGCGATGACGAAAGTTGAAACCTAAAGAATCGGGGAAATACGTACGTACGACAAGATAAAAAAGAACCGCATACATTCTGACATTTAATCAGACAGGAGATCATACATTGATGCACGTACTATTATTCTGCATAACATTTTCGAAGATCGGTATAAATACGGATAGGTTCTTGATGATTCTACATATAAAGATTCTTACGATAACAATAATCAAACCGTTATCTTAAAACTCTTAAATAACAATTGCGGTATTTTTTTCTTTCAATATTTATGAATTATTTCTCGTTTCAAAAGATTATGCATACTAGAGTCATCTGATTTATTAAATATATATTTAATTGACTTTTATTCATTTTACAGTTTTATATCAATTTTAACGGATATCGATACTGTATCAATATACAATAATCGCAAACTTCGTAATTAGCTAGGATTGGTTAATACTCTATAATAATGTGGATTATTCTAGAATGATGCTAAAATGATCCAGATGACTTTTTCTATAAGATAAATTTATAGAACGATGTATATATTTGATTTGCGTAAAATTTTAATTTTAATTAAAATATTTATAATATTGGCTCCCCAAATTAATATATAGTAAAGTATCAAATAATCTAAAGTAACTTTACTAATATTACTACAGTCAGACCTCCCTAAATGCAACTCGCAGGGATAACTTGCATTTGAGAACAATAAGAAAAATTGCATTTATGGAGGGTCTAGTATACTATATTTGGGTCAGAGTTAAAGGTTGTATTTAGGGAGTTATTTGCATCTAGGAGTTGCACTTAGGTCTGGCTGTATATACTGCACATAAGGCGCCAAAGGCATTGGAACAGTCAAACTTGACTAATTATTTCATGAATTCATTAGTTAATTCTGTGGTTAATGGATAGAAATGAATCTTTTTTTCCTTCGGACTAGTGTTTAGGTAGCAAGTGAAACCCACATCCAAGAATACCATTTTTTTTTAACAAGTTGCCCAGTGAAAACTTTGAACAAGACGAAATTTTAATATTTACCGGACTGACTTGTTTAGATTAGTTCAGATAGATTTCCTAAAGAAATAGTCTCTGAACCAGATTTGTTTAAAAATAATGTTTTTACTTAATAAAAAATTATGATTGTATTTAATATTTATATTAACTGTTATCACTTTTTGTATTTCCTTCAACCATGATGCTGGTGCACATATTATCATTAATGGTGCTACTTTCAGATCCATCAATATTTCCAAGAGAAATAATAATTCCTTTTTCTTCCACGATTGTGTTTCTATTTTCGATAATACTGACTCTTTTCTCTTTTTCAATTTTCTTGATAACTGCACAATCTTTTCCTTTATTAAACTCTCTACTAGTTCTAATTAATTGATCCCAACTTTTTGTTCTTTTGTCTCTTGATTCAGCACAATGCTTAACTATATTACTATTGCAACTTTTTACTCTTCTCAACACGTCTCTTAATCCGTCATCAACACAGGATTCTATTTCATCTTCAGTCAGACCCATTTTTATAGAGCTTCTATGAATATTAATATCAGATTGTTGTTGGATATTAGATAATCCGTTGCTGATGCTACGAGTCTTTTCACTTTCTGATTTTGAATTGTTATTCTTCAGAACATTTATCGAATTAAAAATTACAATCATTACACTCTGAGAAATTGTTATAACTCCCATTATTAATGTAAGAAATGGAATTATATTATAATTTATGACACTAGATCGATAAATAATCTATTAAGGGCGAAAATAAAAGTAATTAGTACAATAAGCTTATCATGCTTGAAATATAAATAATATAATAATTTAAAAAGTATACCTGAATAACTAATTGAGGTATGTCACATATAAAAGAAAAGCAGATAACACCCCAAAGAATGATTCCCTTTGCTACTTTGGAAAATGGAGCATTCAAATTACCAAATCTAGCGGTTCTCGCATCAAGTAATCTTAAACATTCAATACGGACAAGTGATAATAATGAAACGATTACAACACTTATTGTGTGTTTTGTAAGCCATTCGTAAAATTCTGGATTTTTGAAGATTTCTCGGCAAATTATGCATATCGCAAGTAACATTCTTAAAAATATTGGAACGATGAAAAATATTATGCTACAAAAATATTAAGGATGAATCACTTATCAGGTTGAGATATGAATAATTTGATTTTATGTTTCAAAGTCATGATTACCTAGGTACGTAAAGTGCCTGAACATCACGACTATTTCTCAGCAAAAATATTAGGTCCAAACCGAAATCAATGGTAAAAAATATGACCTGGAACATTAGAAAATGATTTTTCTAATATTAATTATGTGAGAGCCAATCATTAGCGGTTATTTTTTTCGACAAATTTGAAAAATATGGATATAGGAAATGAATGAATATATTTACTTCTGGATTCTTTCTCTGTGCCAGAAATAATATGATGAAGCAGATAAGCAAAATTATTATGATGATAGGATAATAAAATTCATACATTGTATGGTATACGAAATTAAAAATTGGTATCACTATTTATTTTGAATTCTATCGCAAGAGAAAACGAGAAGACTAAATGACATACAACACATTAATACGTAATATTGATTTAATAATCCGGAAAATCAGAATAAATGCGCATAATTTAGTACACGTTACTATGTAATTATATTAATATTAGTATTAACAAATAAAGGCTTTAACTCCTCTTCCTTCTCCCTAATCAGGTTAAACTTAATCATTTAGCTTGACCTGTAGCTTTTTCGAGATTAGTATTAAGGAAAGATCTGCATACACTAACACAGATTGTACTGTTTTGTTATTAGTGTGTGTATATATACCCATTATTCACGTCAATGGTGGACTTATGAAATTTATCAGGGTTGATTTAATGAAGTTCTATGTAGGGGTGTGTAGTTAGAAACACACAAACGTAGTGTAGAATAATCTCCATATCTCTCAATTTTCATAGGTGGATAGGTGTGAAATTCATACCAACATACATCCTATCAATTACCCCAATTGCCCTTACCCTAGCTCTAATATAATACCAACCATAGCCTTAACTTGAAACGATTCCTGTTTACTATGAATAGAATATATCACATTTACGTCTCTATTTCATCATATGTAACTTCCTGTTCTTCCATACACTTGGTTTAAGCTCTTTAACATTATTTAAAATTTGTTTCACCGTAGTTATGCGTGTTCATTCATATTTACTGTCGCTATTGCTATACATAACACCTGCGTTAGTACGTAAGTACATACCTATTACGTATTGACTTATTCATCTTTTCTTGTTATTGTTTTACTAAATTGTTGCATGATTTATGATCACAATTAATATGTACAAACTTGGAAGAAGCAAATAACATTCCTAATGGCCAGATACCGTCTTGTTAAATTATCTTTCTTATCATGTGCTATCTTACTAGTCGATACTGCGAAAACCAAAAGATAGGATACTAGAGTATATTGGGGCGCTTCACAGTAAAAGACCAAAAATTTTTTTTTAAAAATGAAATTAATACCTTGAAGAATTGAATTAATTAAAAAAAAAATCCAATTTTTTGGCCCACTTCCCCCTTTTGCTGTGGGTGTCCCAATTAGACGTGCAGGCGAATTGCCATAACTTGCGTAAATTTTGCCGTAACATAATAAAAAATGCCATAACTTATTATAATTATTACATGGTGTTTGTTGCCTTGAAAATCAACATATAATTTACTATGCCTCATAACATAAGTTTCAAGGCAAAGACTCCACATATTACTGAGATAGTTACGGCAAAAGTTACGGCATCATTAGGATAATTCGCCGCATCACTAACGTTAAGGCTATAACGAACAAATAATTTATTAACTTATTGTAATCAATTTGTATCAGAACTCAAATGGGTTAGTACACATAACAAATAATTTTAGGGCTGGTGTAGGTTTATTATGTAAAATATAAATTCTACCCTAAAATTCTAACTTTATTAATAAAATCAAAATACACTTAAATTTCGTTTCCACATATATATAAGTCTATTTATATAAAATCGTTAAAAACAGTTAGTTACTTTGATATTCTAACCGATGAACATTGAAGTCGGACAGAAATGTTTCTTATATATTTTTATTAACAATTCTACTAACTTATTACGAACGGATAGTGTACGTATAAGGGTTAATCAGCTTTAGGAAGATTAAAAACCCGGTCCGACTCGACTCTAAAAGTCGAGTCTTTATGAAATCTCGGTCTAAAATCAAGCCTAGACTCGACTCACATGACTTTCTTTATGTCTTTTCTTTTTTTAAAAAAATAACATAGTCTCGTTGTTTAAATAATTTGCGAAATTTTATTCGAACCATTAGGCTGTACATCTATTTAAAATTGGGTCAGTGTCTACCGTTATAGGGCTTCGGGACTTTGTCATAATGTGATTTGCTACGTATCAAAATCTTTTTACTTAAAGCGGTTTTTGATTCTAAATTTAGACCTTGCATATTAATGCATGATGATCATTCATATACGTTGTGATTTTTGTTTAATACGTATAGATCAAACTTGGTATAATTCAAGTTCACTAAAAAAAATCTCTAAAATTAGGTTTTTAAAATTGGTTATATATTTAAATCATTATTTTTTATTTTTATTTTTTTTGTGTTAAAGTTCTTGCTTTTGGAGAATAATTTTTATTCAAGTTTATAAGACACAAATGCTTCCAAGAGTTCTCTTATATAGGAGGTTACAGCTAGTTACACATGCACTTTTGATGCCTAATTTAAGTAGTCTGCTTATACATTACTATGTATATAAGTTCTACATTAGATATTATACCTACAAGTCAAGTAAGGATCTTGCTTATTTAAACCTTCTACATATGTAATCCAATTTGTATTATAAGAATATTCTCAGAGCATAGTTTTGTTCAAGTTTCTAATTTTTATTGATATCTTTAGAAGTATTTTATCCTTATAGATTATTTACTAAAACTTGTCATGTTTTATATACAACTAGCCTAGTTTTATATAATATGTTATATCATCTAATACTTGTAGTTACAGTTATCTGTTTAATTGTTATAATACATTATTTTTTTATTTTTATAAAATTTATTAGAATCTTAGTACTTATCTTTCTGATATCTTTTTTATTATTTCTTATTAATTATTACTCAGAATTAACAAACTACCAATTTAGATGATCTAGTATAATATATGTACTTCTATATCTTTTTTTTTAATAAATCTAATCTATTAGTTAATTATATATTTTTTTATATATATTTAATATTTAGTTTATTTAATTTATTTTTTTTGAAAATAATTTATAGATTTTAATCAGTCTAATAATACTACCAAAAGTCTAAATTACCTTTTTATTTAGAAATTTTTGAGTAGTTTTTTGTTTTTTTAGTTCTTTAGTTTTTTATATCTAATAGTTTTATTATAAATTTGTATCAAAGTTTTATATAATACTAATAAATATTCTTCTATATATATATAATATTACATTTTATATAAATAATCTAAGTATATTAACAATAATCAAAAAATTTCAAACTTTTTATATAGTTTTTAGTTCTTTAGTCTTAAATCTTTTAGAATTAAAATCTATCAAATAAATATTCTATTCTATATATTTTATACAAATATTATCATTTATATTCATTTGTTTATTACTAATATTACCAAATTAGTTCACACCTTTATTGGATAAGTTGTTTATTTAATTAATTATTATTTAGTCTTATTGATATCTCATTACAATATATTTATAACTTAACTATATTTAATACTATATCTAATATTATAATTAATTTATATCATTAAATTAAAACTACTTAATAGTATGTCTATTTACAAGATATCAGATATATCATTAATATTTTTAACTCTAATAAACTTAATACCAAATAAACTTATTAACACTATTACAAATATGTTTTTTAAAAAAGTAGTTATTATATTTTCTATATAGTTTCTACTTCATTTTAATTAATAAATTTAGCACAAAATCTAAATTTCTATTATATTTCAAGATTTACAACTTAATTCTGACTATAACTCATTATTAAATCCTGTTTTTCTTCTATTAAAAATTAACTCCTAGTATATCTAATAGATCAAATATTAAACCAATTTTTTATATATATTTACTAATATTCAAATCTAAATAAATCTTAATTACTTCTATTAGTTTAAGTTATAGATAAATTAGTCTAAATTTTTATTTTTTCTATAATATTTTAAAAATAAATTTATACTTTATATAAAGTCTTAATTAAATATTCAATAAAGATAAAAACATAATCTTATTATTAATATTAAAAAAAATTGATCTAAATTTTCAAGTTATTGAATTTGATATATCTGAATTATAACTATATAAGATTAATCAATTAACAAAAGATAGTTATTATAATACAAATATAATTTAAATATTAGATCTAATATATAAAAAAAAACAATCTAATTATTATACTAAAATTATTATTTTTTTTAATTTATTATTTAAATTTATAAACAAAGTTTATATATAAAATAACTTTTTTTATATGAAGAATCAAGTTAATGACAGACAAACCCAATATACAAAGCAGGTTATAGTATCTTTTACAGCTATGTGAGCTAAGTTTAAAATAGTAAATAATCTTGTAGAAGATATTCCAATCTCTTAAGTTTTAGTTTTCAATACTTTACTTTTTACAGAAACAAATATATACTATAACAAATTTCTATAATTACACAATCTATCTATTATATATAATTCTATAATTCTTGAAAACTTTCTATTCTATTTTTGAAAACACTTTTTTAAAAATAGTTTCAAAATATCTATCAACTAAAACAAAACTGAATTATATATATATATTAACCTTTCTGATCCTATTTTGTATAAATATTATACTATTTAACCTTTTTAATATAAAATATACAAACATCTATTCTTACTAACAATATCTAACAATATTTCATTTAATATTCACTTAGTCTTACTTGATCAATTGTTTTTTATAGACCTATTTTCTGAATTTCTATCTATACTAGTTACTTCTACATCTAACCATATAGTTGATAGACCTGAGACTCTTTTTTAACTTATA